GGAGATTTGACTCCAGAAAAAGTAGGAGAGGAGATGAGAGAAGCAAGAGGCTGGACAGGTACGACTGCTGGCTGTGGGCTGTGATGCAAGGAATGTGCGCAGAAGCTGAAAAGGACAAGGAGATGAATTCTCCCCTGGAGCCTCCTGCCAGCACCATGATTTTAGCCGCAAGAGACCCATTTTGGACTTCTGGCCTGCATGACTCTAAGATAATAAATCTGCGTTGTTTCAAGCCAAAAAATAAAATAAAAAGGTAACAACAAGTGCACAAGCCTATGGCGAAATCGGAAACCTCATACACTGCTGGTGGGAATTTAGTGATGCAGCCTCTTGAAAAAAATGGTTTGGCAGTTCCACAAAAGAGTTGTTAGGAGTTAACATATGGCCCAGGAATTCCACTCCTAAGTATATACCCAAGAGAATTAAAAACACACAGCCACATGGAAGTGTGTATGAAAATATTCTTAGCAGCATTACTCATAATTCCCAAGAAATGTAAACAACCCAAATATCCATCAACTGATGAATAAACAAAATGTGGCATATCCATATAATGGAATATTATTCAGCAAAAAAAAAGGAGGATGAAATATTGACATAGGCTACAACATAGATGAACCTTGAAAAAAACATTACACTAAGTGAAAGAAGCCAGACACGGAAGGCCACGTATCACATGATTCCACTTATATCAAATGTACAGAATAGGCAAATCCATAGAGACGGAAAGTAGATGCTGGTTTCCAGGGGCTGGAGGGAGGGGATTGGAGTGACAGCAGCTGGATGCAGGGTTTCCTTTCAAGGTTGATGAAAAAGGTGAAATTAGGTAGTGCTGATGGTTGCACAACTTTGTGAATTTACTAAACACCACTGGATTGTGCACTTTGAAAGGATGAGTTTTGTGGTATGTGAATTATATCTCAATCAGAAATCCATCTTAAAAAAAGAAATGCAGGCTAAAGTGATCAACTCCTCAGCAAAATGCAGATGCAAATATCCTCTCTGATATTAAGCACACAAAAAATTCTAAAGAGAAAATAAGACTTGACTATAAAAGGGAGACAGGAGAGGGACATGAAAGGGATAAAATTAGTTGGATGAAAGAGGGGAGTGATTTCATGTTTCTAAGTACTGGTAGGGAGGCCCTTTCAATCTTCACTCCACCCTCCTACTTAGCAAAGTTGGAAAGTTAAAAACTACACCTGCCAGATTCCTTGGAGGTCAGAGCCCCAGCCAAGACTTGGGCCCCTCCCGCTTGCTGCATCTGTGCGTGGCTGGGGGCGGCGGGGAGGTGCCCTCCTTCCTGCTGCTCCTGGCTGCACTTGCTGACAAATTTGAGTCTCTCCTGTAAGGGAGGCCCAGTGGTGGGTGGCTTCTTGACCTGAATCCCTGACCCTGGACGCAGCTCTGGGCCTGCCATAACACATCTCCAAGTGTGGGGCTATTGGGGGTCCTGGGTCCTCCCATCCCTCTCGGCTCCGGAGGCAGCATCGGCAACTGGAGGTGCCTTGGGGGGGGGGGTCAGTTCTGTCTTGTTTTGGGAGTCATTCCAAGAGACCCAGTCCAAACCAGGTTATTAGGCCCCTCCAACAATGCACAAGCCCCAAATTTCCTGTAGAAAACGTCTGCCCAACTCAATCTGCAGAGTGGTTTCCGTTTCCAGAAGCAGGCTGTAACATTTTCCCTCTTAGACCCTCTCAAACTGCAGCTTCAATACACACAGATCAAAACTGCTTAAATGTAAGCTTTAAAA